TATTGCATTATTGCATTATAGTAAAATCCATTCACCACGGAAGCTTGTGGTTGGCGTTGAGATAGCCGTTGCACGTGCGTTGTCAGCGAGCAATCCGATTGGATGTTGTACATCTAACGATAATTTGACCTCAAGATTTAAAGGGCATCACTTATATTTCGATTGGCAAAGCTACTACACCCATGTGAAATATGGGACATCTCATCCCTACTCGCTTATCACACTCGCGGTTCTTCTAGTTCTACTGTATCTTATTTGTAGTGAGCGCGAAAATGCTTATTTACATTTCGGGGGAACATACACTACCAGTAGCCACTGCCTACATAAACAATGCAGTAGAGACTGCGTGGCAGCGGTAGCGATTGACGTTAAACCGCGAGATGTGAAAAAAATGTGAGATGATAATTGTAAACATTTTCGGGTTGAGCTCACCAGAAAAGAATGTGTTGATTTTGACAAGCTCTTGGTCGGACTTTCGGAAAAACCGCTCCTCAAAGTTCGCCAAAAACCGCTGAACATGATCATCGTCCACGGCTGAAAAGGGAAAAAACAATAATCATTTCTAAACACGCACACGCACACGAACACGCATACGCACTTACGTTAATTGAACTGCGTTAGATAATTGAAATACACACAAGCACACGAGCATGAAAATTTCTGGTTTCAGCCTACTGAATATATCCATGGAATTGTCTTGGTTAATTAGTATGCACAGGTGCGTGCAAGCGTCAGAAAACATGCATGCACTGTGTACACCCACAGAGGCACACAAAGGATTATGCGAATATTACGTCAAAATTTCTGGCTTTGATGCAGTAATTGAGTAAAATATAGTCGGACACTAACTCACTGTAGATCAACTCACTACCACTTTCCTGATTATTAGTTCTCATTAAAAATTTAAACAATGTAAAATCACTCATTTGAATACTACTTTTAAAATAAGTTTGCATATACTCTTCTCTACTGATAATAGAATACTATCAGGGGTTAATAAAGACAAATGTCATTATTAACCCCTGATACTATCAGGAGCGTATAATGACAAATTTATGACAATTTTAATGACAATGTATATTTGTCATTATACGCTCCTGATACTATCAAACTCTACTGCCGCCTCTTTCTGCTATCAAGCAGAATACTCGGGAAAATTACCGTTTAATCACACTCAATTCAATCGATCGATTCAAACGCATTGCAAGAGCTTTGCCACTCTTAAATCTTCCTCCGCTAACATGCGAACTGAACTGCCCAAACGTGATAGATCAATGGCCTGGAGAAAGAAACCACGCAAGATATTCAACTATGTGTTTATTTATTTGCAACACATGCGGATATATAGCACACACACACACACACACACACACACACACACACACACACACACACACAC